ATGAAAGCAGAGCTTCTTCTGTACTGCCCGAGGTTCTAAGAGGAGCCTGCCACCTGTCAGTTCGGAGATGATGCTGGGGGTGGAGGTGGGTATGGGGCCAGTAGGTGTGGCCACACCTGACTGCAGGGTAGGGGTCCTATGACAAGGCCCTGCAGTGTCTTAGTAGGAGCAGAGGCCAAGATGGTCAAAATCATTTCTTTCCTCCTTCCACATTCAACCCATCAGCTTGTCAGGCACTCTATCTATTTCTTCTATTTCTTCCTCGTGCACCCTGTGCTTGCTCCTGCTCCTATGATCTCACTTGAGCCACTACAGCAGTTGTAAAAACAGTGCCCCTGCTGTCTCCCCCTGCCTCTCTCACATCCACTCTTCATGTGGTCAGAGAGCTCTTTTATTTTTTTTAAGATTTATTTATTTATTCATGAGAATACACACACACACACACACACACACACACACAGAGAGAGAGAGAGAGAGAGAGAGAGAGAGGCAGAGATGCAGGCAGAGGGAGAAGCAGGCTCCATGCAGGGAGCCCAATGTGGGACTCGATCCCTGGTCTCCAGGATCACACCCTGGGCTGAAGGCGGTGCTAAACCGGTGGGCCACCGGGGCTGCGATGCGGGCATCTTGGACCACAGTAGGAGGAACAAAAACTTAGAGAAGAATCCAAACTTCCTGTCCAAGTCCCACTTTATCCAAGTCCTACTTTATCAGGCCCCTTCCCAGCAATCCCCCGTCCTCTCCAGCCCGTGCTCTTCTCTGCTTGTGCCTTAGCCACACTGGCTTACATTCTGTTCTCGGAGCGTGCCAAGCTGTTCCTGCCTCAGGGCATTTGCACATGGTGTTCCCATTGCCTGAATGCCCCTTTCCTGGGGCTCCCCTTGGCTCGCTCCTTCTTAGTGAGATCTCAGTTCAAGAGCAGAGAGCACTGCTCTGACTCTTCAGCTAATGAAGCACCTCACATCCTGGGGGCTTGCTCTCAGCTTTTCCCCCCTTCATGTTGCTTACCTTTCTTTGAATTTATTCTGGTGATATCTTTGTTGACTTGTGAACTTCTTGTCTCCCCTCTCAGGTTTGTTGCACGGGAATAAGGACTTGGTTTCCTGCGCTTGGCCTATCCCAGAGCCTGGCACGTGGCACGTGCCTGTCTCGTGTCTACTGGGTCTCGGCACCAACTTGCCCACGCGGCTGCTGTGGTGTTGAGATGCATGTGGGGTTTTGCAAGCTTCCAGCACATCGTGCGCTGGTAATGCAGGTGGCTAGGGCAGAGGGTAGAGGGAAAGGAAGGAGCGAACTCTCTGGACCGAGGATACCACAGGAAAAGTCTCAAGAGCCTGGAGACAAAGTTGAACCTAAGAGTCACCATGGAATGGATGAAATCATCAGACTGGGAGAGACTTGCTCTGGAGGGTGGGAAAGGAATTAACATTAGTTAACTAAGGCTCTTGGAACAGTACTGCACATAGAAAGTACTTAACCAGGGACACCTGGGTGGCTCAGCGGTTGAGCGTCTACCTTTGGCCCAGGGCCTGATCCTGGAGACCTGGGATCAAGTCCCACATCGGGCTCCCTGCATGGAGCCTGCTTCTCCCTCTGCCTGTGTCTCTGCCTCTCTCTCTCTGTGTGTCTCTCATGAATAAATACGCAAAATCTTTAATAAAAAAAGAAAGTACTTAACCAATACATAAAAATAAATGTGTTGAACCCTCTGTAATGGTCGCTTTGTAGAATTCCCTCTCTCTTCATCCTCACAACACATGACCTCCATCATTGCAAATGAGAAGGTCTCTGAGATTAGAGCCGGCTTGCCCAGGGTCAGCCAGCCTTTTGAGGCCAGAACTGAGAACCCCACTCCCCGAAACAGCTCTAGGGAAGGTTGTCCATCCCACACTCCCTGTTCCTCTTCCTGCTTCCTCCTGTGCCCTAATACCTACTACCAGCTGTGATACTGTGCCTGCCATTTATTTCTTTATTGTCTGTTTTATCTCACCAGAATATAAATTCCCGGAGGGTAAGGATTTTTGTTTTGTTCACTACTGTTTCCTTGAGCCTAGAGTAGGGCCTGCCACGCAAGTAAACACTTGATGAGTACTTACTGAATGTTTAAAGGGATGAATGGAGGGATTATTTTTAAAGCCTTGCTTTCTGCATCTCTAAGAGGCAGTCCTGTAAAAGCCCAGCTGACAGGACACCCAAACCCGCTGGAGAAGGGCGTCAGTGCCTCCAAGATGGAGTGGGTAGGAAAGCTGTGGCTGATTGCTTTCAACACATCAGAAGGAAGACCGGGTCCCCAGAAGAGGGACCGGCCTCATGAAGCCTGGCAGAGCAGCCAGGGAGCTGGGGTCTGTCTCTCCAGCCCTCCACCACTGCCAGGCTGGCGGTTACTCTTCTCAGGAGATGGCTTCCTACATAAAGTGGCCCTGGGGGGGAGGGGAACTGTGTCAACCAGGCCCCAGTGGCAATTACAGCTTATGTAAATGCATAAATAGGCACTTATCAGGAAACCTCCTGTGAATTGAGTTAGAGTAAGTCAGTCGCTCAAGCCAGGCAGTTTTGGCTGCTGAGCAGATTCTTGACCAGCCAGGACATGAGTATGGGTGGCCCATGGAGAGCGTTCTCTGGGCCCCCTGACCTTCCTCTGCACCAATGCTTCTCAAAGCTCAGGCTCCCAGAACTACAGCAGCATCATCACCTGAAGACTTGTTAAAAATGCAAATAGGGGCACCTGGGTGGCTCAGTGGTTGAGCACCTGTCTTTGGCTCAGATCGCAATCCTGGGGTACCAGGATGGAGTCCCCTGTGGGGAGCCTGCTTTCCCCTCTGCCTATGTCTCTGCCTCTCTCTGTGTGTCTCTCATGAATAAATAAACATAATCTTAAAAAAAAAAAAAGAAAGAAAGAAATGCAAATTATCCAGCCCGGCATCTTCTAGCCACTGAATCAGAAACCCTGAGGGTGGGGTCCATCACTAACCCCTCCAGGCAGTTCTGATTCACAGTTTGAGAACACTGGTTTCTCTTTTAGGACAGTTACTACTTCCTGCAAGGACTGTGGGCTGGGCTAAGCTAATAATCATTGATGGGGGCTTCATAGGTATGGTACAGGGAGTCCTGTTTTAAGTGAGGAGTGGGAAGGGTCAAGACTTAGGAAGGAAGCCTCTTGTGTTTCAGAAAATCTTCAGAGGAGGGGTTAGTTTGCAAAAGCACAACCATAATTTTGTATTTTAGTTTTGAAATGTCAAGTGACATTAAAGGAAGGTTTAATATAAACTGCCACCCAGTACTATGTATAGAGTTCAGGTAGGAATATAATGCTTGGACCCTACCTCCTGTTCCATTCTCATGCTTCAAAAAAGAGGAGACAGAGAGACAGACACACAGAGAAAGTGCCCAGGCCTGGGCTGGTCTGAAAGATAGGAGAAACTCAGCAGAGGTTGTGCCTGAAGAATTCCTGAACTGGGTTGCACAATTTTATGGAGCTCCTGCTGTGGGCCATGTGCTGTACTTGGCTCAGTGAAGAGGATACAAAGATAAATTAGCCAGCCACTCTGCAGCCAAGGCACTTACAAGAGAAAATTCAGAGTATTTCTTCTGGTTAGCAGATGTTGGAAGAATGGAATTGTGTGCTTTTGATTAGAGTCTTGGCTTTTCAGTTAAGCCAAGTAATAGGGCACATGTGAACCGGCAGGAGGTGGTGTGGGGGATGAGTGGGGAGAGTGTTGCAGCTTGAATTCTGAGTTAAATGGCATAGACAGGCCCCCACACCCAGGCCATGGTGTGTAAAGGTGTCCACAGCAGGGGTCTGGAGTCATGCATGGTTAGGAGATCTGAGATTGGCTTGTAACAATTACCAGCATTTATACAGTGACTACTCACTGTCAGTAGTCAATTTAGGTCCATACATTAACTCATTTTTTTTTTAAGATTTTTATCTATTTATTCATGAGAGACACACACAGAGAGGCAAGAGACACAGACAGAGGGAGAAGCAGGCTCCCTGTGGGGTCCCCAATGCAGGCCTCCATCCCAGGACTCTGGGATCATGCCCTGAGCCAGAGGCAGGTGCTCAACCACTGATACATCCAGGTGCCCCTAACTCATTATTTTATTTTGTTTATTTTATTTATTCATTCATGAGAGACACACAGAGAGAAGCAGAGACATAGGTAGTGGGAGAAACAGGCTTCCTACTGGGGTCCTGACGCCTGACTCCATCCCCTCTGCCCCTCCTGGGATCAGGCCCTGAGCTTAAGGCAAAGGCTCAATCACTGAGCCACCCAGGTGTCCCGCCCCTAACTCATTCTTTATATGAACCCTATGAGATAGGTACTGTTATCACCTCATTTTTACTGATGCGGAAACTCAAGACACTCAGAGGTGAGCTAACTTTGCCCAAGTCACACAGCTAAGTAGAGTGTGAATTTGAACCCAGGCTGTCTTGCTCTAGAGCACTCCAAGCCCATGACAAATCAACGTGCCACCCCAAGTGTCTGGACCGGCCTGCTGGCTTGGGGTGGCGGAGGGATGGGATACTTCTTTGGGTGGGCGAATAGGCTCCTGAAGAAAGCGCTGACGTCTTTCTCCAGGCCTGAGCATTCCCTTTGGCGTAGACAATCGAGAGGCTCTTCGAGCCAGCGAGAGGACAAGTACTTTAGGCCCCTTCCCACTAGATGGCGGCCCCTAAACCCACATAGAAATTCTGGAACCTCCACTGTCCCCATCTTCCAGGGTTCAGCGGCGGCTGCAGAATTGCAGGAAGCGCGCCCTCCCCCCATCCAGGGCTCACGGGCCCCTGCCCCGCCCCATCCGGGGGTCGTGGGAAGCCTCCAGGCGGGCGTGGGGCGCGGGGCGCGGGGCGTGGGGCGCGGGGCGTGGGGGGAGGGCGGGGAGACGAGGCTCCCGGGCTCCGCGCGCCCGGGGGAGGAGCTGGCGCGCAGCAGCCACTCCCGGGGTGCAGAGGCGGGGCGGTCTCGCGCAGCCGGAGCCCGCCGCCCAGGGGGAAGGCCTGGACCGCGGGGCGCCGGGCTTAGGGCGCGGGGAGCCGACAGGGGCCCCGAGGGCGCGGGTCGGGCGGCAGGTGCGGGGCGCGGACTACAAGTCCCGGCATGCCCAGCTACCCTGACCCGGCCCCCGCTGCCACTTAAAAGCTTCGGGAGCCGCAGCCGTCGGGTCGCCGCGGCTTTCGCTTTGCCGCCGCGGCTGGGCGGGCGGAGCAGCGGGCTCGGCGGCCGGTCGTCGCAGCGTGCGAGCTCCGGCGGCGCCGAGGGGCGCTCCTCGTCCGGCCTCCCCGCTCGCGGACTCCCTCCCGAGGCGCCCGCGCCCCCGGGCTCCCCGCCTCGGTCACCCCGCGGCCCCGATGCCGAGGCATGGATAGAGCGGCGCCGCGCGCGGTGGCGATGGGGGAGAAGAAGGAGGGCCGCGGCGGGGGGGACGTGGCGGCCGCGGACGGGGGCCCCGGGGCCGCGGCCAGCCGGGCGCTGCAGCAGTGCGGGCAGCTCCAGAAGCTCATCGACATCTCCATCGGCAGCCTGCGCGGGCTGCGCACCAAGTGCGCGGTGTCCAACGACCTCACCCAGCAGGAGATCCGGACCCTGGAGGTAAGGGGGCCGCGCGCCCGGGAAGCGGCCCCCGGCACCTCCCTCCTGCCCAGGGCACTGCTGCCCCGAGGCGTCCTGGAGCTCGGGTCGCCCCTCTGAGGCTTCCTCTCCTTCCTCCGCGCGCGGATGCGGCGGCTTGGGAGCCCCGGAGCGGCCCCTCACCTTGGGCAGGACTTGGGGGGAGGGGCGGAGTGGGAGCCGGGGTGGAGGCTGGCGGAGCCGGGGGCGGGGTGGGCTGCGCTCGGGCACCCGCTGCCTCCCCAGCTCTGCCCCCACCCCGTTTCCATTTTGCGGGGCTGCAGGACTCATTCTCCCACTGAGTCACACGCTGGACTTTTCCCGCTGTGACACGAGCAGCCGTGGGCCGGGGTGACGAGGCGTGGGGGGTCCCCCTGAAGTGTGACCACAGGCCCGCCATTCTCTCTCTTTCTTTCTTTCTCTCTCTCTCTCTCTGTCTTCCCCTCACGCCCCAGGCTCCGGCTTGTTCCTTCCTTTCCTCTCCTACAGGATTTTTGTCTGCCGCTTTTCAAAACGTGTTTGCTGAAACTGCATTTTACTGTTCAGGCATTTGGTGCTTTGCTTTCGCACAGCATTTCACCGCTCAAAATATGATTACCCGCCGACTCCCCCACTCCTCAAACGTTGGATTTGGGTTTAGGGAGGATTGTGCTGGGGCACAACGCCTTTGGTGCAAAGATGACCCCTTAAATATAAGGGGTTCTGGAGGAGCCGGTCTTCAGCGTAAAGAAGAAATAAGATATGCAGGCCCTCCTCCCTCAAATTATAGCCGGGAAGTGCAGTATTAAAAAGGATTTGGAAGAACCAGTCAAAAGGGTGGTTGGGTTCTCAGAATGGGGGAGTGTCCCCCTCCCCCATACACAATAGAGGAAAACTAGTGCATTCCCAACTAGCTTTTGTCGTCCAGAGACTCGAAGGGCTGCGAAATGCCAGGCACCACTTAATTGCTGCCCCATCTTGCAGAAGTGGCTTCTTTCCACCTTGCATTAGCTCATCTGGCCTTCTGCAGATTTGGGGATGTTTTGTTTTATTAGAACCTTAATTTCTCAACCTAACCCACCCCTCAGCCCCCAACCCCTTATTGCTGATTGCCTCTGGCGGCTGTCATAGGGCCAGCCAAAGATTTGAGCACACCAGAAGCCTGAATCCCTGTTTGATCCAAAATGCTTTGGGAGGGGAGGGCGATTTCTCTCCTGCAGTTCTGTTGTCTTAAATGATTTTTTAAAAAGATTTTATTTATTTATTTATTAATGAGAGACACACAGAGAGAGGCAGAGACACAGGCAGAGGGAGAAGCAAGCTCCATGCAGGGAACCCAATGCGGGACTCATCCTGGACCTTCAGGATCACGACCTGAGCCAAAGGCAGATGCTCAACCGCTTGAGCCACCCAGGTGTCCCGTCAGTTTTCTTAAAAGCTATAGAACCAGGGACATTGGAAGCATCTAATCAGTGCTGGCTATTATTCTTTTTGTTCCAGTTGCTATAGCAGAATGACCAGGACTTTGCTTAAAAAACAAACCAACTGACAACACCCCCCCCCCCGCAGCTGTCCCTTCTTGTGGGCATGCTGCTGTTTTCCAAGTGGTGAGAGAAACTGGTTTCTTGAACACAGCCGAATGTGTTTGCCCAGCAAAGTTCAGTTTTTAAACTGACACAATAGGGGGCCTGTGTGGCTTAGTTGTGGGAGGAGGGATCATCGTCCAGCAGCATGTGTCTTGTTGGACTGCTGTGTTATTGAGATGAAAGTTCTCTGTGTTGGCCTCTCTCGGATTGTCCCCATGTTGCTCAGAAGAGCTCCTGGTTCACAGAGTGGATACAGGAGAACCATTTACTGTTCGTTCCCTGGAAAGGATGCTTTGCCCACAAGGTACCCTGACTTGCAAAGTCCTTAATCTTGACAAAGGCGTGGCATCATGACACCTCAAAGCATCCCGCTCTTTAGTTCTCTGAGCTGTGTTTTTCAGTGGCCTCCCTCCTGAGTGTTTATTGGCAGCCGGAAACCCATCCAAAGGCCCGAAGGGGAAATATCTTGCTCTGTCTCCATTGTGATGTAAATTTGGGTCCATACCACAGAAAAGGCAGGACCTAGTTTTTTGGGGGGGATGGGAATTTAGACCTCAGGAACTGGTTCCCTAGGGCTGCCTTCAGCCTGTTTAAATGAAGCTCTTAGAGCAGTGGAGGCCTCAGCCTCCGGGCCTGAACAGGGAAGTTGGAGTGGATTTCCTCAGGCTCTTGTGGCTCTCAATTCTGTGGTTTAGTGAAGGGGTTTATTCAGTTGGGTTGAATCAAACATTTGTTACACTTGCCCCTGTTTTAAAAGCGTTCTAAAACCCGGATTTACCAAACTGATAAAATAGGGGGGGAGTGTATTAGTCAAAGAATTCTGCTGATAGGGACAGTGTGACAGAAAGCTTTGAATTCAGGTTTGAGAGTCTGTGTGACCTCAAGGTCAATGATTGGAGCAAGGTCCATGATTTCTGAGCCTTTAAGCTTTCCCATCTGTAAAGTGGGGATGAGACCACATAAACCTGCAGTGTTGTATCTGTAAGTCCATGTCTTACTACCAAGATATTTTACCTATAAATTTCCCTTAGGGAGGGTCCAGTGGCCTTCATGACACAGGCCACCCTCAGGGGAAGGTACTCCTATAGAGCTGGCTCTTGTTTCCTGAAGGTGGGTGACACAGGCCGGGAGATAATCCCACCAGCACGTAGTGAGGTGGGCAGGGCAGTGGCGATGTCCACTCTGGCTTTCTTTTCTCTTCTGCAGGCTCCTTTCCCATCGTATTCCAGGCCAGGGCCCCCAGAGACTATGCTTGCAACATTGGATTCCTGGCTTTTGAAGAAAGGGGCTGACCAAAAGGCTTTGGCTTATACAACTGCGCCAGACTTCTCCCAGAATGTTAGGAACCTCAGCCCACTCTGGCCTTTGTTCAATAGGCATTCGCTGGGAGAAACAGCATGTGGGATGCCCTGGAAGTCTCTGACCTGGGTGCTGCTGCTGGTGGTGGCCGAGATTGCAGGGTAGGATGATGTGTGGGGGTGAGCGTGTCCAGCTGCCCTGTGAGGATTTCGTTTGGGTTCAGAAGAGTAGAAGGAGAGGGATTTAATGTGTGCCTCCTACCTGACAGCCAGGGTGCTGGACCCCTCTCAGTCTCCTGATATTTTCTGGAAATCCACCCACTTTTACCACACAATTTTTTCTCTCTAGATGGGGAGTGAAGGAGTCAAAATCTGAACTCAGAGTCTGCATTTGTAAACAAAGTTGTGAGGCTACTTTCTACTAGCGGAAGCTGGTGCCCTGCCTCCATCAGACCCTCCTTGGGGGTCTGGGAACTCTATTGAGGCAGGATAGAATGTTCTTATTCCCAGATGTGCTCACACAGGGATACCTGGCTGACCTCGCAGCTGGGCCTAGAGCCCCATGTCAGTGCATTCCCTCATGTGTTCTTGCTTTGTGGGCCAAATCTGTGCTAGGCTCTGGGGAGACAGCAGTGCCTCATGAAGATTCATGTTTAGTGGCATTGTAACTTTGCCCTTTTCTGCCAGCCTGCTAGTACTTTCCAGAACAGGCCAAGGCATGCCAAATCTCCCCACCTTGTGCTCTTATAGAGAGAAATCCCTCCTATGGAAGTGACTTGGAGAAAGGAGTCCCCAAAGGACCTTGCCCAGGGTCTTGCTGGGAGGGCGACATTGGGGTAGGTCCAGTCTGCACTTTGGCCACTTCTGTGAGGAGTTTCCCTGGAGCCAGGAAGCACCTGGGGCAGGCCCAGCTGCTACTTGGAAAGTCAATGGGGCTTGCCTTTCACCCAGCTTGATTGCGATACAGGTCAGAACCCTGCTGCATGGAGTACCCAAGCTCTCCCCATGATGCCCTCCCCCACCCCAAGAGAGGAAAGGAGTGGCATTGGAAAGGAGACAGGTGCCATTTGTCCTCAGAGATCAGGCCCTTTGGGCTTGCATGAACATCTGTTCACTGGACAAACCTTCTGTTATTACTGGTTTGCCTGCTGAGCTAGCTGCAGCCACCCTGTCAAGGATTCTGAGGTAGGTAGGATGTTTTCCTGGTCTTTGGGGGACACTTTGAATCTAATGGGGAGCCAGGCAGGTGAACTGTAGTGACTCCAGTAACATGGCTTGCTGAGTGCTTAGGAATCGGGAATATGATCGAACAGTTGGCCAGTCTAGCCTTCTGTTTCTGTGGGAAATATTCCCAGAGTCTCAGTATCCCTAATTGCATTCCTGGCAGGGCTGTGACTGAAAGCTGGTTTCCTTTCCCTACCAGCCATGGCTCCAGAATGGGGCATTTCTCTTCTTGTGTTCCATTTCCAGAGTTTCAACCTCCTGCTGGGGTTTTGAACCCTGGCTGTCCCTGAGCGGATGCAGAGATGGGGCAGTGTCCCCTTTGGTGTCTGCTTTTGCCTTGGCAGCTTTTTCCCTGGTGGAACTTGTCACTAGCATGCCTGGGTGGTGACCTGGAAAGGGTCCTGGAGTTTCTTGAGGCTGAGGAGGGCTGGGTGGTGCTGGAGGAAGGCCTCACCACATCTGCAGCCCAAGTTTGAGTGAGTGCCAGGAGGCTGTTGATTTGCTGCCTGGGGATGATAATGGGAATGCCTCCTTCCCCTGTGGGGTGATATGGGGGGAGGGGGGAGTTGCATTCCCTCCTACAAGTATTCTGAACCTGCCTGCTGGCTGTGGTCTGGAGAGGGTCAGCAGAGGTGCCAGAGGTGCGCTGGTCCTTGGTAGCAGTGTCTGCAGTGGTGGGGGATATAGCAAACCCTGCGACCAAATTTCTCTAAGCTGTGTTTTTAAAAAAGGGTACGTCTTTTGGGGCCCCCTGAGTGGGTCAGTTAACCGTCTGCCTTCAGCTCAGGTCATGATCCGGTGGTCCTGGGATTGAGCCCTGCATGGAGTTCTCTGCTTAGCAGGGAGTCTGCTTCTCTCTTTCCCTCCGACCTTCCTGCTCCTGCTCTCACTCACT